ATATTTTTAAAAAATTAAAAGTTTTATTGCGATTTCCGACCCCTCCCGACTTAATTAAACTTATATATAATAAAATATATTAATTAAAAAAATTAAAAAACTATTGGAAGTCGTTTTTGATATCAGAAAGTAGCTTTAAATAACTTTACCTAAGTAAAATCCGTGCACTACAACTTTAGAACGATTAATTAAATTTGATTAAATATATTAATTTAAAAAATTAAAAAACTATCGTTTTGACATCAGAAAGTAGCTTTAAATAACTTTACCGAAGTCAAATCCGTGCATTACAACTTTAGAACGATTAATTAATTTTGATTAAAAATCCCATTAAAAAACAATTGAGCCTTAATCGAGCCTTATCAAAGGCTAATTAAAATCGCGATAAAATTTCTTTGCGCGGGTAAAAATTTTTGAAAAAATTTGGAGACAAAAAACATTCCAAAAATAAAAAATTTTGGGGGCCGAAAGGACCGCATTTTCTGTAACGCTATGTAACATGCCCGAGTTAACTCGGGACTAGGCGTTAAGGGTAACCCCTTAATTTAACGACTACCTGTCATTAATTATGATGTAATTAAGCATAAAAAATACATTAAAAATACTTAAAACTGAAAAAACGAAAGAAATGCGTTAATTTTGAAGAAAAAGCTTCGAAGTTTAAGTTCCTTTGTCTCCCCTTTCTGCAAAATTTAACACCGATGTGTCATTGTTTATACAGCTGGAGTCAGATTTCCCGGGGCATTCTCATAGACGTCTCGGGAGGACAAGGGTTTAAAGTAGGGCGAATATGAGCAACGCCTATATTTTTAAAAAATTAAGATTTTAATTGCGATTTCCGACCCCCCCTAATTAATTAAATTTACATACAGGTAACCTCCGTATAACACAGTAGTTACGTTCCAAAAAATTGCCGTGTTTATGCGAATCAAAGAACTAGTACGAAAAAGAGGGTTAGGTTCCAAAAATTAAAAAACATGCTACTATATTTTCATAATTAAGTTAAATATCTTTATTAAAATTTTCTTAAGTGATACATATGAATATAAATTAAACAATGTTTTCTTTGTCATCATTAAAAGCACTATTAACCGAGAGCGTTTTATTTTTGGCAAGTTATCGTTATCCTCTGAGCATTTTTCTGCATTATCTTCAGATCCATGCTTTACCTTTTGCAAAAAGTATGTAATTTTAGATTGCTTGCTTCTAGTTAAAAGATCTTTATAAATTTCCTTATATGGTGCTAAGAACTTATGAAAAATAAAGCAAGTATGGAATAAGGAAAAAGCATCTGGCAACACAAAAATCAAAGCGTCGTGATCTGGCAACACTGAAACAAGTTTTGAGAAGGACCATGTGTATCGACAAAAGGTGGGAAAAGAAAATTCACATACTTAAGTACTAATAGTTCACGAAAATTATTATTTTTATGAACTATTAGTACTTAAGTATGTGAAAATTTATTACATTTCATGTTATACGAAGATTTTACCAATTCTTGAGCCATGTTACAGTGAATCTGTGCTAAAAAAAGCACCGTGTTATACAGGGATGTTCCCAATTCTCGAGCCATGTTAGAGTGAATCCGTGCTATAGAAGTGCCGTGTTATATGGGGGTTACCTGTATAATAAAATCGATTAATTAAAAAAATTAAAAAACTATCGGAGGTCGTTTTTGACATAAGAAAGCAGCTTTAAATAACTTTACCGAAGGAAAATCCGTGCACTACAACTTAGGAACCATGAAATAAATTTGATAAAAAAACTTCCATTAAAAAACAATTAAGCCTTAATCGAGCCTTAACAAAGGCTCATTAAAATCGCGATAAAGTTTTTTCGCGCGGGCAAAAATTTTTGCAAAAATTTGGAGACTTAAAAAACATTCCAAAAATTGAAATAAAAAAATTTTTTTGTCAAAAATGGCCTTAAGGACCACGTTTTTCGTAACGCTATGTAAACTTGATGAGTTATCTCGTCAAGTTAAATTAATGATTAATAATGCACTGTTTGTTTTAGGTTCAACAGTTTATTTACATGCACTGTTACTTAAGCTTTCTCCTATTTTGACATAATAAAATGTTGCATTTTTGTCTTAATGTAATAAAAATATTTTTATTCAACATTCACCATCAGTGAGTGCATGCTGAATGTCGACATTTGCCAGTGTAAATGAGAAATAATGATATTTAGCAAATATTTCTTACATACACGAAACAACTGTGTGAATACTGACATTTACCGGAGAATGTTGACATTTGCCAGATATTGGTCGTTCACAGTAACATCAATATTTGAATAACAGATCTATTTAACCTTTCTCACTACTATTTATCTTTTGGTCTTTCTCTCCTTTCACCCCTTTCCCCAAATTTGGGTATGTAGTCCTTTGAGTCACAACTCCAGCTTCATTTAGTAATTCTTCCTTATTCACACATTTCCAAGTAATTGAAAATATTTCCTTTCCACTCAAAAATATGAATAAAGGTTTACGGCTTTGTGAAACTCCTTTTTTGAGTTTATGACCTTGAAATAAATAAATAAATGAAAAAAATTAAAACAGTTTTCAGTTTTGTTTACACGTTTATTGGGCCGCATGCAGCCCACGGGCCGTGGGTTGGACACCCCTGGTTTAGACAAATTCATTATATTTATTAGTAAGGGGAAACATTGTTGAACAATAGTTTAGACCAGATATATTCGCGGAAGTGGTCACTCGTTACAGTTGTTGTATGTTGTTTCGGACCAAAAATAGATGCCCGCGGTCGCGTTTCACAGGTGGTCATTTAATACAGGTAATTTATACAAAGACTCTATGGATAAACTATTCTGTGCCAGAAATTTTTTCCCATTTTGACAGGTGCCAGTCGAATGCAGGTGGTCACCTAAGCAGTTTTCACTGTAAATACAAATATAGAGTTATAAATTAAATAGACTTAATAAATAACTTTAACAAAAGTATCTTTTCCCCTTACATTGAAGCTTCTTCAGTTATAACAGAACAACAACAAATTAAATTAAAATTGAATAGTTTTAATAAAAAATAGTTTGGCTTTATTTAATTAAAATATATATATAATGAAACTGCACAATTCAGGTATGATTTGATTTTTTAATTTACTCTGTTTGAATTCATTGTAACTTAAAAAGTAGAGTATATATGTATACACACACACACACACTCGCTTCTATAAAGTTCATTGGCTGGACAACCAGAAAAATCATCCAGGCAGGATTCTGGCAAAAAGGATCTGGGGAGAACACTGCTAATCATGCATCAATGTTTCTGATGTTATCCTTGTTTTACTATCAAACTAGAGAATCAGTTATATATTGCCAAGACAGCAAAATTCTATCAATGTAATTAAGATAGATTGCTGCTTGGCTACATGAAACATACTTGAGGAAAGGTGAACTATATGTCCAATATCTTATATGTTCCTTTATCCAAAGCTTATCATAGAACCAGTTTTCATTGGTGGTGTACCTATTAAGACTGGATTATGGGAAAGGTACTGTTTACAGACAAATCATTTCAGTCTGTTGTCCAGTTCTAAACTCTGTTGATCCTAGTGCAAAAGATCAATTATAAATGATGCCACAATCATCATGATGCTGGGGTCATGATGTGGATTGGCATTATGTTGAATAAATGTACTGAGATACAAGTGCTTGACAAAGCGAATGTAACTAGTGAATACTGTTATAAAGATACTCTCTTGTGTCGTAGTCAATTGTTTCATAGACAACACGCTTGAGCACAGTATATGGTAGCATTGAATGAACTACTAGAGTGAAGACTGTTCATTGAATTGGCCAATGTGCTTTCCGGACTTAAATTCCATAAAACATGCATGAAATGCTCTGTTGAACAAAATTCTCCATCAGAATGCATCCATACTCTAGAGGAGGAATAGGCAAAATTACACAAACTTTTAAATTACTTGGTGTGCAGCATGTGTGATGCAAAAGCTATGTCACTTTTTAGGGAGGCAATATCACCTACTAAAAGGTCACATTGTATCCTGTTTTGAAAGTATTGGAGTAATCCATTGCACTTTCCAAGACAAATTGTTTTTAGCACAGAATAAATTGTAACATTTTTCTGTAATAGTTACACCATATTTTTATGTACAGTTGTTTAAATTTATTACCAACAAACTAAACACTGTTAGACTTGGTTGGTTGTCTTTTATGATAGACTATATAATTCCATCCTTAAGTTTTGGACACCATTGTGTAAATAATTCTAGATTTGTATTGAAATTACTTTAAATTTTCATTTGTTTAAATAGATACGTGTAAAAGAAAAAATATTTATCCAGATCATGTATAACAAATGTATTATCTTCTTTACATGAATGATTAATAGAACAATTATTAACATAACAGACTATTATACAATTATAAAGGATTGTTTGTTTTATCTTAAATGTAAATTTCAGAATATTTTCATAGACATTCAATAATTTAAGTTTTTCTATTTATAGGTATTGAACAAGACATTGATTTTGCTATTTCATTATATAAACTAGCTGTCAATGCTGGACATAAAGAAGCAGAATATTGCTTAGAAAAACTCAAGTCATCTAAATTATCAAAACCTACAAAAGTTAAAAGTTGTGGTAAGAATTAATACATCAATATTTATTATACTGTGTATAAAAATTTTTTATAATTATTTAGGCAGTTAAGTATGTTTATGTTGTACAGAAGTCTGTAAATACACTTTATTTTCAAAAATGATTTCATTTCCTAATCCTGAATATTTATATTATTTTAAGATTATATCATTTTGTTTATAAGCATTTGATTAATCCTTTTTCTATTTGTCTTTTAAACATTTATAATATCTTCCCTCAATTGTTATCATCATAATTCTTGAGGATAAATTATCAAATGAAAAAAAAAAAGACTAATGTTATTTTTTTCTCATCAAAGTCTTTCCTTTATCATATAAATGATAGATGAATTTTAACATTTTAAGTCAATAAAGTATATGTTGTAACTTAAAGATTTTAGACATTTTACACTTGGTTTTATAATTGTTTTATATATGCACGGATGATTTAAATAACAAATCTCATTTTAATATTATTCCACATTTTGTGTTGTTCTCTTAATTATTCTTTTAGATAAGTTCTGTATGAATGTTGAATGTTTCATATTTTTTTTTTTCATTAGAATATATCATGTCTTGTTGTACAAAACACATTTTTGACATACTTGTTATGAGGAATTAAATTGAAAATAACATTTTCGGAACAGAATAATTCTAAATTTTTTATAAGCTGATAAAAATGAATCTAAGATTTTTAAAATCAAATTTAAGAAGTTATTTGAACTTATTTTAGCAGGAATGTTTAGTATATGAAATAAACAAAACTGTCTTTCCAAGTTAAATTTCTTTTACATGATGAAATTAGCACTTTAATGTTAATAGAATTATCACTTTAGCAATAATAAAACAAGAAATTTAATCACTTCTAACAATGTGTTTCCCAGATCTCAAAATATAGAAAGCTGGAAAACATCTTACAGGTGATTAAAGTATTTGTTTTTATTTTTTTGTTATCCATAGTAACTGCTGGATGGCAGATTAATTGGCTTGATTTCAAAGAATGGTCTTCACACAATGCTAACTGATTCATAAATATTAGTTTAGTATAGCTAGTTTACTAAATAAATAAATATAACTAGCTATACTAAACTAATATTTATGAATCAGCTAGCATTGTGTGAAGACCATTCTTTGAAATCAAGCCAANTAACATATACACTGCTTTAACCGAATCTATTTTGGCTTCCCAATGAGTGTCACATAATGGTTTAAGAGTAATGTTTAAATGCTTTTGTAGAATTTCCCATCTCTTTGTAGATGCAGAAAATAAGCAATATAAACGTTGCAATATCCCAAAAAAATGTTTACAATATATACTGCTGGAAGCAGCATCACAAATTAATAAATTAAAAGAGTGTGATAGGCAAGGCACATATATTGCGTGAGGGTTTACAGCAATTATTCTAGATTGTACAGTACACCTTTATATTTCCCTTTCATGTTGCTACCGTTGTCATATCCCTGCCCTCTACAATTCATAATATCTAAATCAAGCTCACTTAATGTTTTCAATAGTTTTTGCTAGTCCTTCTTCAGTCACATCAGTTGCTACAATAAACTTTATAAATGACTCATTTATAATTAATCTTTTCTCTTCAAAATTTACATACCTAATAATAATTGAAGTTTGTTCCTTATGGGAAATATCAGAAGTACAATCCATTTGGATACTATAGTATGTGGCTTCTTTTATAACGTCTTTAATTTTGTTAAGGACTTCATCTCCTAATGCAGAAATAATTTGTTCTCGTGATCTGTGCGCTAAATGATGCACAATTCTATTTTTCGAATTTTTTATTCTGTTTATATGATACATTAGAACAGAGTAGTATTTACTTAAAACTACGACTATATGCAAATACACATATAATTTTATATGGCCGACGGCCACAGTATTATTTTCATTTCTTAATGCGGGCTATATGGTATTGAGATTTTTTTTTTTAAAGTTGAATTTAGGTGGGGATCCTCGGGAGTTTCCAGAATCAAATAACAAAAACTGAACATTCGCACCACCGAGAATTAGTTTGAAGATTGTCGAAATTCAGAGATTACAATAATAATGTTTATGATAAAATGTACTTTTCGTCATACTGACAACGATAGGAATATTGTCGAGTTTTCTTGTGCATTCTTGACAATGTTAGGGCCCCCTCAATCGCGGGGCCCCGGTGCACAGCATCCGCCGCACCCCCCGATGGCCGGCCCTGTATGAGCTTCTAAATAAATAAATAAATAAAAATAAATTTTATCAAACGATGAGATCAGCCGATTAATTGTATCGTGTACAATATTTTATACACCTAAGGAAAACACTGTAGGTCTATGGTTAAATAAATTTCGTTTTCCCACAGTTAAACTTTGTCGCTAATTGCCGTTGTGATAAACCATTTTCACTTTCTCTGATAATTTTAACACATCTTCTAACGACAGCACTTTGCATTTCTTTCGTTTTTCAAAATTTCCCAATAAACTGAAATGAATTTCCTTTGTTGCTAGACTAATTCATTAACACCTGCATGTAATTTCAAGGATGGGAGAAGTGCCCGAGGTGGGTTCGAACGACAGTTTAGACCAGGGGTGTCCAACCATTTTGTTTCTCTGGGCTGCACTGAAAGAAGTCAAGGAGTTTTGGGCCACAACTATATATACTTGTGGCCCAATATAAAAGTATATTTAAGGACTAACATGTGTAGATTATAATAATAATTATTAAAACTTTATCACGAAAAAGGATATTTTAGAAAATTACTTCTACAAACACTTTCAATTTTTACTTAAAAATAGATAAATTCATTTATTATAAATATAGAGACAAACGAAAATTTATTTGAAAAACACAAATATTTGTTTTATTTGGGTCTCTAATTAATAAAAAGCGACGAAACACTATTTTAAAGTGCATTTTTATTTAACTAATATATTTATGAATAATATGTAGCCCAAAAAGTAGACAAAGCACCAAATGATATATTTTACATCAAACTAAAAAAAGTAGCCACATTCGATGCAATATAGCCAAATCTTGCAACGCTGGAAGGAATAATAAATAGAGCTGGAGTTGTGACTCAAAGGATTATAGACCCAAATGCGAGGAAAAAAAGAGAAAGGACAAAAGATAAAGAAGTGAGAAAGGTTGGAAAATTAAGAATCAATGTTACTGTGAAAGACTGAAATTAGAGAATGTCGATATTCTCTGGTGAATGTCCGAATAATACAAAATATACAAAATACGTCGGTGAAAGTCCAAATGTTTGGTTATATTATTACACATTCGAACAATTGCCAGTGTATGTCAACAAGCACAGATAAGCTTTGGTGGAGGTCGAAACGACACCCGAGAAGCCGATGTCGACAGAGAGGCGACACTCTGTTGCCAAATTCTTTGTGGGTAGCTGGAGGTAGGACAAGGTCTTTTGATCCTGTGAGGTAGGGATCGGTTTGTCAGGTCGAGTGGCGGAGGATGAGAGGGGTCGTCAATAAGGCTTCGGCGATATCCAAATAAAAGACACCATTAACAGATCAGTTCGTAATCAGATCAGTTCGTAATAACGTAATCAGTTCGTAATTTGTAAAGAAAAGTTACTTTCCATAGATGAGATTTCTTCTCAATAAATATCGCTGAGAGAAGCAGCTGCAGCTAATTCGAAAAGTGGAAGGCAAGACTATACACGCTGTCATTGCAAAAAAAAGTGTTCACGAATAAATGCAGTTGTAAAAGCAAGGGACTCTTGTGCAATTCAAAGTGCCATAACAGTTTAAGTTGATGCAATAAATAAGATTGTATAACGATAATCACATAATTTATGTTTAAGTTTATTATTCTATTATTTTCTTTAACCACTTGCCGCACGAATGTTTTTAAAGGAATTTTTAATTAAACATAAAAAATACTTAAAAGTGAAAAAAACGAAAGAAATGCGTTAATTTTGAAGAAAAAGCTTCAAACTTTATTTTCCATTGTCTCGCCTTTCTGCGAAATTTGACACCGATGAGTCATTGTTTACACAGATGGATGACCTTGAGAACAGCTGGTGTCTTATTTCCCGGGACATTCTCATAGACGTCTCGGGAGGAGAAGGGTTTAAAGTAGGGTGAATACTAGCTAGACTTATATTTTTAAATATTTTTAAAAAATTCAAATTTTAATTGCGATTTCCGACCCCCCGACTTAATTAAACGTGTAT